TAAAGTATAAAATGCTGAATGAATGGAAGAGGGAGCTCCAACAGCTGTTCCTAGTAGCTGGCAAGGGTTTACTCCTCAAGGGCATGCTTGGCAAATTATTCTGTATCTTCAACTTTTTCTTTAAGTCTTTCTTGGGAGAGTTTTGGTGAGATGATATAACACCAGGAATAAATTCTATGTATAAGAAAGAAAGAGTCAGAGGCAGACACGCAGGCAATGGCAACAGATGAGCACTACGTACAGATGTGAGCACGGAGGTAAGCAATCAAAAAACAGAAGCACTAAAGTTTATGTGGATTTTTCAAGTTCAGTCCAAACTCTAAGTTTCTTTTCCAATACCCAAACAAGGCACTGGTTATAACTGCTCTTAAAACATTTTATTAGGAGGAACTGAGTGTATAAAAAGGCAGCTTTCCCGCAGGGGTACAAAACCCTACCTTTTAATGTAGGTGGAAAAGTTAGAATGCTTTAACTGTAGTCATTGAGTGACATAGGGAGCAAAAGGCTAGCGTGTGGGGCACTAATGCACAAGTTCAGGAACCTTAAAGTGTTTAGTCTCCTGTGGAGTTGGCCTCCCATTTCCACAGGTCCCTTAATCACTTGGATTTCAATTCTAATAAAAATGTCTGTACTAACTTCCACTGTTAGAAAGTCAAGATTTGGACTCTGTTCCTTCTGAGTAAGAGCCCTGGTTTAGGAAGGTTCCTTGGCTGCCATTTCATAAACAAACTTATGCTGAGAATTTCTGATGCTCTATGCTTCAAGGTCCAGACTTGATCATGCTAAAAAGAAAACAGCCACTTTTTGCTGAATTTACATTGATGAGGAAGCTTGTTTCGTCAAAGGAAGAAGACCAGATGAGCAGGAGGCATTCCTGCTGCTCTTCAGTGGCACATTGTTGGAAGCAATATGAACCCATGTTTATTTACATCCTCATATTCCTTCTGCATTAACTATCCATTTCAGTCCTTGCATACTACCTATAGTCAGGAAACTTCCCCAAACCTGCAGGGCTTTTATATTGTACCATGTCATGCCAAGTTGGGGGAAAAGCACTGATAATGTTATTAATCAGAAGAAAGCAGTGGTGCTAGTAAATAAAAATACCACTTATTCATTCCTTCTCTTTTGAAGAGAGGAAAGAAATCGATATTTCCCTTTAATAATGATTACAAATGACCTACTCCACATATCACATCACTCTCAATCTTCTCAGTTTTTTCAATCCTATCCTAACAGTGTAAACCAAGCTTTCAAGGGATATATTGCCAAGGTAGGACAAGAGCTCATTGACTTTGGTGATAACTACACAAACTTAAAACAACTATATCATCGATTTATTAAATTATTTCATAATGAACTTAAAGAGAGTTCTTCAATAAAGGATAGTTTGCAGTGTAACACAGAATTTCGTAATGGTTCATGGTTCTACAAATTGGGAAAATCTTTTTAAATAAATCTAATAAGGTAAAACAAATGTCCTACAAGGTATGTTTCACGTGACTTTGCAATAAACATCAAGAAACTTACAATAAAGGATTCTTTCCAAATAAAAATGTCAGTAAGTTATCTACAGGCATGTAATTGTGCAGAACTAAAAGTTTGGAAATGATATATGAGAACTAGCATGCCACACCAATTTTACTTTTTTTTAATTAAAACTATGCATAAGGATTAAGAATTCAATAAACCAAATGAACATGTCCATAATTGCTAGACCACAGTTGAAGACATTGCTGGCATATTTTCCCTCAAAACTATGTAAATATTTAGCTTAAACATGATCTTAAGTTGATTGATGAATAATTTTGGCAGAAACAGTGATTAATTTAATTTCTATTTGGCCGATCTCACAGTGTTAAAAGTGGGGAATCCTTACACAGTGCCCTGGATGCTCAGTGTCAAACGTGGTCAATCCTTATAAGAAACTAATTAATGAAGCTATTTCAATATTCTGAGTACATCAATTAAATGCAATAAGGGCATACAGAATGGCAGAACTGTTGCACTCACTCATTGCTTGGGAAGCCTACAAATTCACTGGAGCACCTAGTTCAAGCACTAGCTACTTCCAACACAGCTTACTGCAGATCTGTACCTTGGAAGCAAACAGTTGCTGCTGCAAGTACCTGAGTCCCTGCTACACGTGTGGATGATCTACACTGAGTTCTATGCCCTCAGCTTTGGTCTGACCCAACCTTCATGGGCATGAGCCAGTGAACAGATGATCTCTGACTCTTTGCCTTTCAAATAAAATGAAAATAGAAGGGGAAAGAGAAACACAATGACTTGTGGCAAGGTATTGGGTTTCCTTTGCTTTGACAGATGTTTCTTATGCATTAGTTTCCATCAGAGTCACAAAACGCAATTTTGCTGTATCACACAGATAGTACTTCCTGTTCTAAGGTCTTTGGTTCTAAGAGACACATGCCATTTCTCAGGCTCCCTTAACACAAACTTCATCTCAAAATCTACTTGTTTTCTTCCATCCACGCTCACCCCAGGCTTTCCCGTCCTCTTTGTGTAATATATTAGACTTCTGACAATTCAGAAGAAATAAAAGAGCTAACACATTCACTGAGAGCTCGAGAGTTGTGCTGAATTCTGGAATCATTGAAAAAGGGTCTTTGAACAAAGCTTAACTGAATCCTGATATGAATTAAATTGCATTTTAGAGTCATCATGGATAGATATCAGTAAATAAAGACAAATCTTGATTAAAATTTTCTACGAAGAAGAGAAGTCAAAAAGGGTGATTAGAATTCACTCAGCTCTTCTTAGTACGGGGACAAGCATAGTACAACAGTAACACAAGCCAAAGCAGAAGGAGCTAGCAATATTGAAGAACCACAGAGCTCCTGGGCCTGGAACACATATCAAAACAGTCCACATGCTGTAAAGCCTATGTTTCAGTCACACTGAATTTTCTTCAGTCCTGGCATTTACTCAGGAAAGCAAGCAAAGCACTGAAAAATGGGCAAGAGGTTGTCCAAGAGATGCAAATACCTTCCTAAAGCCTAGTGAATTTCGCATTACATGTCCTGTTTCTCACATCCAGATTCAGAAACAGGACATGTAATGTGGACAGGATGTAACAGAACAGGATTCAGAAACCTTATTGAAATTAATCTCAGAATAACATTGATTCTACTGCTATCATCGGGGTAGAACAAGTGTGCTTTGCAAAGACTGCCTCATTTCATCTTAACAAAGCCTTGGAAGGAAAACACTGCAGTCATTCCCATTATATGTAGGAGGACACTGAGGCATCCAAAGATCAAGGCACTTTCCCAAGGAGACAAACCATTATGTTATAGGACTGAGTTCAAACTCATCTTCTCCCTGTGCTGTTCTATTACATCCAAATATGCCTATAGGCTTCGAGCTCAGAAAGGAGACAAAGGGACAAAAGAAGCAGGCAGCCGCAGCTGCCACGGAAGCATTATTAAAGTAGCAAGAACCAACAATGTATTCAAAAAACAGAGGAAAATAGCCCAAGAGATAATGAAAGAACACAGCAGAGTGTGGTTACTTACTGTAAGGAAAATCAACCTTAAAGACCTGTACAAGCCCAGCTGATGTCACTGTCACAGAGCTTGCAGCCACCAGCGATTTGATTCTTGTGGTCCTAAGTCACTGAGAACAATAGTCCCCAGAAGCCATTTCAAAAGGCTGGACATGATCCAGTGTATTTCTGTTTTCAACAAGGCTCATAAAAGTGATATTCAAAATATTCTAATAAATTCTAATTCTAGAAAAATCATATAGCACCCTACAAAACACACATGACATATGAATAAGCCTTGATTCTGAAAATAGTCATAAAATGTAAAAAGTCCTTTTCTTCTTGTCCAGGTTTGCATGTTCTTATTTGTAAGGAAAGTTAGGCAAATGATTTTTTTCCTGCAAATATAACACTGTATGGCTCTACCACAATGGTCTGTAAGTTCCAGTTGTTTTGGGGAAGAAAATGAAATAAACTTGAACCCAAAAAGTGCAATACAACATTCAATCCTATACAGCCTTTATCTTGCACAACCTTCAGATGGGTGCTACAGGCTCTAGCAGTACAATGACTTAGAGCTGTGGGGTCATGGGAAGACTTTGTGGAGGTCAGAAACTTCCTTAATAAACTTGAGCCTTGAAAACCTAGACAATATTGTATGACTTCCAACACCTTATACTCTAGACCTCTTCAATATTGGAATGCCTCAGTATTTACAGCCAATTATGACTCTCATGGGATTGGGAAAAAAGTGCTTTTTTTCATTAACAAGTGTTCAGTTCTGAAAACTTGTCATTCAGGACAACAGGAAACTTATTTTCAAACCCCCTTTTTTTTAAGAAAAAAAAAAGGGAGTAATCAGTCATCAAATCACTCTGTCACTAATAGGTTAACTTGCCTAATGAAAAGCTAAAATAATATGACCAAGAAATTTTTATTGCATAGCTATGTCATTATATATGGTTGTGTTACATAAAACACCCTAATCCATCAGTATTGTGATCATTTCCATTAGTGGTATTTTAGGACAAAGGATTTGACTTTCTAAAACAGAAAACCTGTTCAAGAAGAAACATTTTGGGTAGGTTAGTTATTTACACAGAAAAAGAAAGTGGAATAGCACTGATAAGCTCAGAGAACCTGCTAAATTTCTCTGAAAATAATTGGGTTTCAAATAAATGATAAGCTCTGATAATAAGAGTTGTGACTGAGGTGTTTGAGAAAGCTCCTGCTTCAGGAGGAATATACTAGCTTGAATACACACAAATGTTAAAGGCCACAAACCTTCAGTCCAGCTCAATTTTCTGACTATATAGGAAAAGGGAATACAAAGAGAAAGTTATGATATGCAGCTTTATGCCTCCTCCCCAACACACATATTTCAAGTGGAAGAAGAAATAAAGAGAAGGGCTACATTCTATCTGGAGTGAGTGGCATTTGGTCAAATGAGACATTTTTGCAAAACAAGCAAAAGAAGAACAAACCAGGAACTTACGATGTAGCAAGGCTCGCAGTAAGCTTTCTTTTCCACAGCATAGAAGGGCTGGCCCCGGAGCTTGTTGTTGCAGGTGATGCAGGTAAAACAATCCACATGGAAGACCTGATCCATGGCGGTACATCCTGTACCTTCCCCAACTACATTTTCACCACAACGAGCACAGCGGCCTGTAAGAAAAATGGGGACTGAGTTCAGAATAAAGCAAGGAGCACATCTTCCTTTAATGCATCAGAATGCAAAGGATAGCATGGATTCATCGTGTCAGTTGTTGCAAGGGAACTGTTTTCACTATATCACTGGCACTAGCAAGTCCACTAGTTCAACCAAGCTAGGCTGTAGAAGGCTGGTGATGAATCAGCTGAGAGGATTGTTTTCATGGGCTAATATTCCCTAGAAAGTAATGTAGTAGCACAGAACAGCAGGAATCTAAATGCTGCTCCCATGGGATGCTGCTGTTGCAAGTGCAGGTTTAACCTAATGTGCCACAACACTGGTCCTTCCAATTTTCTTAAATGAGCTCAGTGGACATCTTGGTCACATGTGGACATCAAGCTCTAAACATTCACATGAAGTCATGGCTGATATTATTATCAGTCAGAGTCACTGTGTTCATTACAGCTCTATCTGGCTTCACTTTGGGAATCTTGAGCCAGGGGTCAGATATGTATTTAGCTCTGCTTTTTATTTTCTATTTTTATTTTATTTTATTATATTGAGAAATTCAAACAAGTAATTGTAGGTCACTGGGTATAGCAGTAACAACCCATAGGTTTTAGGGATGGGCATTTGGCCCAGTGGTTAGGATATCACTTAGGGTGCCTACATCCCATATCACACTGTTTGTGTTTGAGCTCTGTTTCCATTTCTGAGTGGAGGTACATGTTAACATGTGCCCTGGGAAGCCACAGGTGATGGTTCAAACAGTTGTGCCCATGAAAAACTGTATCCACAATGGAGACATGGGCAAATTTCTCAGTTCTTGGTTTTTGCCTGATTCAGCCTTGGTAGTGCACCAGGTATGTAGGAGATATGAAAGAAAATTGTATAAATAATTTTTTTAAAAGTTATCTGATAGCTTTGACAGATAAATCATAGTAAACCAAACCTAATACTTCACATAACACAATTGTCTAAAGAGGATTTAAAGGAGGCTGCTTCAGAGAAGTTCTTGAATAATTAAGAATTACATATAATTTAGTGCAAAAAAATTTGAAACCCAAGAATAAAAGAGGTATTTCAAAAAGTTCATAGAAAACATATTCTATGCAATGACTATACACATGAATTTCAAAATGTGTATATACAAAAATAAAGTTATCTCTGATTTCTCCTTTTCCATAAACCTACATCCTCATTTATTTCTATTCATTTCATATTTACAACAACCTGTATTAACTCTGCAGTTATTCTCATCATAAAATGAGGAAAATGAGTCATAAAGCTGTTTTACCTCAACCCCAGCTGTCTAGTGTCAGCATCCTTGCCTTTAGCAACTGTGCAGTACTGCCTGTTGCTAGCTCTGTGTGTAAGAATGGATGCCGATTTGACATTGTGGGAACTATTTCTCAATGAAGACAGCTTTCAGCACTCCATCATAAGGACTGACAGCCATTTCACACATAAACTGGGAAAACTAAAGTGTTTCAACTTGGGGAAAAAAGAGGTATACATAATTACTAATTCTCTCTGGTTATTTGGGGACCTGGAAAATAAAGTTTTATATCTAGTCACAAGACTGGACTGAGTCTTTGAAAAAAAAAAAACCCTAAATTATACAGCGTAAGTTTTTCTCAAAGAAATAGATATCAAGAGCTGAAATACAAACCATCTCTGGAATAGTTAATATTATTATGAAGTCTTGACATCACCCTCTTGAATTTTAATGAACATTTTCTATAGCACTTGTAATCAACGTTGTTTTGGATGTTACAAATTTCTGCCCAAGAGTTAACCTTTACCTCTTTTATTATAATATGCATAAATAAAGCTGCTTTTAAAATTTTGAACCTTCCTTGCTTAACAAAACCAGGTTTTATATAGCCCTGGCTTTTATGATTATCATCACGCAAGCAACTGGTATACTAAAATGCTGACTGGGCTATGCTTCAAACAATAATAAAGTTCTCTGAGATGCATGCCATATTTGACAGCTTTACACTGCAGAAAACATTTTGAAGATAAGGAGCAAGTGATAATTGATCAACCTGATCATTGAGAACATATTGAATTCCTGTGAAATTTATAATTTTACTTTTCAAATAGACAACTGCAGGTCCAGAAAGTGATTTCTTTACTCTTCTTTTCCTTTCTAGATGACACTTAATAGAGTGTCAGGGATAGTACATTTGGAAAAGAAAAAAAAAAATAGAAGCCTGGTTCTGGTTGGGAGTTGCTGACTATCGGCCACATGATCCACTGAGTAGTCATTGGTAGCTATTTTGATTCAAGCATGCATGCCTACAGTATAATAATATCTGGAATCCAGGGTATTGCCCCTACATGATTTATGGAGATTTTTGCTATCTATGAATGAGGATCCTGGACTGAACTTGAATCACTGCTTCAGAGGGAAGAGTCTCAGCTGAGTCCCAAGGAGAGAAACTTTGAAAATGTCAATCATTTAAAAGATACTCAAGTATCCACTCCTTGCCCACACTACAGTTTGCTTCTGTGTGTCATGCAGATCAAAATTAGACAATGTCAGTGACTTTCATGGTCATTCAAAGACTAAATACATCAAAATCACATGACAAAATTGGAAGGAATGCTGCAGAAATATACAATGAAAAAAATCACTTCTGAGAGGGCTCTGAAAAGGTTTGTTGTAGAAACAGGTATTTGTGCCCAAGTTTAAAGGATGGAATTTTGACAGGTAGGGATAGAACTGAGAAAAACATTCTAATTTTCCGAAGAGGAATGAGTGGCTGTGGTTTGCTGAGTCCAAAAACACCGCAGTGGCTTGGGATGGCACAACAAGGTTTTGTCTCCTCTGCTATGAAAGCAGATGGACTGTAGTCCGAAGACACAATCTTCTTTATGTCTTGGAGAACATTCTTCCAGAGTGGGTCAGGCCAATATGCTGGACCCAGACATGACCAGCTTTGCTAACTCCCGTATTTTTCCTATACTTGGGATAAATCCGGGACACCACCCTCAAGGGCAGTCAGTCTGGCACCTTTAAAATCACAAGCACAGAAACAGAGCGAAGAACAAAAAATAAAAATAGCCCTACACTTCAGCAGGACGGAAAAGGTGCCCAAATGTTCCCTTTTTACATTAACCAAAGCCTACAACCATGTGTTTTAGGGAGGAATTAAGACAAAGACATAAAGTAGTGTATCGTTGCTTCTCTTAGTTATACCCGGCATTGTTAAAAGCACACCACAATCCTTCATTTTCCCATCTGGGACAAGGATCTCAGCACTTTTTAAAAGAAAAACCATGGGGCGTTGTCAAAACATGAAGGCATTAGAACGCAAAGACCAATGAGCTGACTCTTTTTACCTTTTTTTGAAAGGCAAAGTTATAGAAAGAGGGAGAGACAAATGTGCACACGTACACACACAAACACACACACACACGCATTCACAGAGAGAAACAGAGAGAGAGAGAGAGATTTTTCCATTTGTTTTATTGCCCAAATGGCCACAGTGGCTTCGACTGGACCAAGCTAAAGCTAGGAGCTTTGTCTGAGTTTCCCATATGGTTTTAGGAGCCAGTGTACTTGAGCCATTCTCTGCAGGTCTCCCAGGTGCTTAGCATGGAGCTGGATTGGAAGTAGAGCAGCTAGGATTCAAATCAGTATTCACATGGGATGCTGCAGCTTCAGCATCAGCCCAAAAGCTAACTTTTAAGACAGGAATCACAAACCAGCAGGTCCAACGTCACAATATGAGACAACTCATAAAAAAAACTTTCTCAGTGAATTAAGACCCTGTACTATGTGTAAAATGAGCTTGCTGCTTGTTATCTGTATTGCTCTAGGTTGACTGAGGAGCCATCCTGGGGTTTTCTTACTGTTTCCTTTTGTCTCTCATTGGCAGCCATGTTGGTAGCATCTTTGAAATTCTTGCTTTATACAGCATGCCTACCACCCATACCAGGCTTCTTAACCTTTCATTTGAAATTGATTTCTGATTATTCTGTAACTTAACTTCTTACAAAGAGAAAGGCTATATGTAGCTTTGAGTGAAGGTTGGAAGGCTGGATGTAATTTGGACCTGTCAGTTTTCAGAAAGCATTAAGTTCAAGGTGACAGTCTAGGTAAATCTATAGGTTGTTCACATAATGAGATATGAATTTTAATTTTTTCCCTCTTTTCATAATGTAAACTTATTTATTTTATAATGTAAAAAGAAATCCTTTATTTAGAAACATGTTCCCATTCATTTCAAGATATTGGTGCAAAAAAAAATTTAGAATAAGCTCCAGAAAGCACAGGAAACAAAGCGAATACAGACAAGATTATATCAAAGCAAGAGGCTTCTTCAGAGCACATGAAACAACCAACAGAGTGAAGAGAAAACCTACACAGCAGAATACTTATCATCTATTTACTTGATAAAGAATTAATATCCAGAATTTATTAAGAACTCAAAAACATCAATATTAAAAACACACCTAGCCCTAAATAAGAAATATAAGCAGGCAACAAAAAATTTACAAACAAACAAAAAACCCAAAGAACCCTGCTCAACACTACTAGCCAACAGGGAAATACAAATGTAAATGACAATTACTACTCAGCCCACCCCAGTCAGAATCACTATTATCAAAAAGGCAAAAAGCCTAATTGTAAAGGAGTGACAAAGAGGGGTAAATGACAAATATCATGAGACTTAATCAGTGCAATGTCTATCTGTATTAAAATGTCAAACTATATCCCATAAATATGTACAACTATAGTTAATTTTAGTATCTGAAAAACTTAATAAAAATGTATTTGCTATACTCACTATACAATTAATCTAACGGCCATAGGTGGTCTCGAACTGGACCAAAAGTGCTATAGCCATCTTTTGAGTGTTGGTGTGATTGAGATAACTTACTGTCATACTTGTATTATTCAGCAATAAAAGTAAAGTGGCAGGGCCAGGCACAGTAGCCTATTGACTAAAGTCATCTTCTTGCACACCCTGGGATCCCGTATGGGTGCTGGTTTATGCAC